CAGCTGTGGGGTTATTTTATTGCCTGTTTTTTGATGCTCCAGTTATCAGTTGTGTCTCTTCACGGTTTCATTGTTTTGAACTGTTTAAGGCACACTGTCCCTGACAGTCAGTGGAAGGAGGCTCAAGGGAAGGACTTGGCATGGTACCAGAACACTTTAAGCGATGGAAATCCAGTTTTCATATATTTTCATGGGAACACAGGTACAAGGTATGATAAAGAATTATAGCTGTCTCCTCAAAAAACAGAGAGCTATTTGTTCTTATTTTGCTCAGAAAACACTTCTATATTGGCACTTGTGTTACCTGTGAATTGTTCCAACAGGGCGGCCCCTCATCGGGTGGGAGTGACAAAGGTGAGTAATCACCAACACAAACATATGAATCTTTTGGTGATCTAATAAAGATGTGAAAGTCTCAGTAGGCATTCTGATGACAGATAGGCATTATGTGTCAACAGATATTGAGTGCACTGGGTTACCACGTGTTGCTGCCTGACTACAGAGGTTGGTGCAAATGAAGGTTTATCACTCTTCCTCTAGTATTTTCTGTCTCTGTGCTTCTTTGCCTTTGTACTGATTGTTCTGCACAACCTTCTCACATTGACTTAATATCATTTGCAACCATATGACCACTGTAGATCAGTGCAGTTGTGCCTGATGAGTTTGTTGTAAGGCAGTCAAAAGACAGAAGTTCAACCTGGGGTCAGTGTCTAGTCCAGGTTTTCCTCTGAGTGACTGCCACCTTGTGGCAGTGAAGAGCAGCTCTGTGATCTGCCAGATGCTGATGTGAGAATCTGGCAGGGTTTGGAGATTCTACCGGCGAGCCGACTGAGGCCGGTTTGACCACTGATGCCCTCTACTTGTACAACTGGGTCAAAGCACGCAGTGGAAACAGTCTGGTCATCATCTGGGGACACTCTCTTGGCACTGGGTCAGTAAGGAAAGCAGCATTTTACTCAAATAGCCACTCAGGTATAAATGACTCAGGTCACTGTTGTAGTAACTTTTTCAAAGGTGCATTAACACTTTGAAGCAATAGCCTGCAACATTTTTACCTAAGTGTTCTTAATTAATATCTAATTGATATAACACAACAGTGATTCCGTTTGTTTAACCTGTAGCATAATGGTCATAATGGCTGAACAGAAGAAGTCACCCCACACACAGAAACATAAAATATATCAAAAGGAAATTAATGCAGTATAAAATTTGTCTGAAATAGTGAGTACTTCCCAAATTATCACTGTCCTGGTGCATGACTGGAGCATGTTACCAAGAGGTTCCTTAATGTTAAACTGAGACAGGTCAACAGTTGGGACAGATCACAGTTGCAGATATGCACTAGATTTGTCTGTATGTCTAACAATGAGATACAGATTCAAAGAAAATATTTTGAAATAACATTTGAGGAGAAATAATAGAACCTAACTGCAAAAAAATCACATATATTTGAATAATTAGCTACTTTTTGCTTTAATGTGCTTGCATAGTAAATTATATATTTGACCGTCATCAGTAAAATACATGTTATGTTCATTAGAGAAATGATTGAAATGAATGGTTAGTGTGTGCACAAGTGTACACAGCACAAGAAGAACTGAAGATGTTGCTCTTGGTGTTTCTGTACAGAGTGACTCTCAACATTGCACCCAAACTGATTGAGCGAGGTAGGTTTTGCTATGGGGAAAGGTTGGCCAACATAATTAAGAGGAAGTAATTCCAACATCTCAATGTGATAACAATTTCCTCCTCAGGTGTGGTTCTTGATGGCGTGATCCTGGAGGGTGCTTTTAATAGTGCACGACAGAATATTACAGCATATTTCTTTACCTGGGTAAACTCCTCTAACTTAACACTTGTGCTGTTTGATTGGTCCATTTCACATGGCTGCTACTACATCACCTCACATCTTTCTGTTTAAAGTACTACTGGAAATTTCCAGGCACTGGATACATTTTCCCAGAACCATGGAGAGACAAAAAGGTTGTCTATCCTACTGAAGAAAAGTAAGTTTTCATTAATATGCTGGCTACAAACAGCAATCAGATATTTAGCTGATGGAGAAATTCACACATTGATCATAATAATATTGTGACATCATAATGTTGCTATTGCAGTGACTTAATATGCGTTTGTGCAGTTTGAAGAAAATGAGGAGCCCGATACTTTTCCTTCATTCAGAAGACGATCACTTGGTTCCCATTGAGATTGCTCGCCAGGTATCCCTGGCGCATTAAGCTACTTTTCATCTAATCAAGTGTCAACTGAGGCAGCGTTTTCCCTAAGATATTGTATTGTTTGAAGTACACTGAGTTTTCTTTGCTCTTCTCTCCCAGACGCATGAGGTAGCAGCGAGTGCCCAGAACCTAGAGCGAGCCAAGCTGGTGACATTTGACGGTTCTAAGGGGTATTTGCACAATGGTTTATACAGAGACTCTCATCTGCCTGACGTCATCAAGTGAGAAAACATTTCACTTCCATGCTTAAAGTGATTATATTGTAGCTTGGCAAATTTTTATGTGTTAAGTGTTCAGTTTTCAGCATGTGTACCTCATCATTTCTCCTGTGCAGGAAGTTTGTGCAGTCTTTGTAATGTGGGAAAGAGGACTGAAGAAGAAAAACGTTGCCATACGTGTGGACACTGGCTTCATTTGATCACACACTGCTCAGATGTTTTTCCTTTGCTGTTGCATGCATATGTGATTTTACTTTAAATATGAGATTTTTATGAATCCAAAATGTCTGTGTTGAATACCTGTCAATTTAAGGATTATTAGACTCAGAATTAATGCCAGCATTGTTGAGGCTAATGGACTGTAAGCAATGTTTTTAAACCAGTTACAATTGTAAACTTCTGCTTTGTATCACTGGGTGATTTAATCTGACTAAACAGAACTAAAAACTAGAGAAATGCATTTCCTGTTGTAAATGCGTGTGGATGCTGATATGCTGAAAGCTCACCCTGAAAATGCCTGAAATCAATTGCTGAAACAGCTGAAGGATGAGAAGAAATGGCTGAGGTTCTTTGTTGAAACATTTGAGAAGAAATGGCTGAAGTTCTTTGTTGAATAATCTGAAGGATGAGATGCAATAAATACAAGTAGGAATGTCCTTGAAGAGCTGAACAGGTAGATACCTTAATGGCCTGTATAGCTGAAAGTATGCTGGACTTATAAAGTGCCAAAAAATGGACGGAAGAACCCAGAATAATCAGGAGAACATAGTGTAGATGGTTTACAGCATCCACACAATAAAATTTCTAGTTGAAAATGTTATTAGGATGAGCTACAGTATTACAACAGTAGGTGCCCTCTGCTTGCATTGTTGTGCAGTGATGATTGCCAGCTATACTACTGGACAATCAGTTTGTTAATGAAGACTTCAGATGTCCCTGAAATTTCACACTAATCTAAGGACAACAACTAGAAAACATCTGGTCTCTGAATTTGTCATCACAAGTTTGGTTGACACTCTAGGATCCGAGATCAACTCAACAACAGAAGATATTCATTCAGATAAGATTAAAGAATCTCAGTTCAGTCATAGTTTATCTACAATCAATTTTATGACACTGTCAACCAGCAGTTGATTTCAGCTTTTGTTACAAGAAAGCAAACTTCAACATGTTTGTCTTTGGGAAAACTCTGGAGGAGGTGTCTACCAGCAGAATTCACATAACATTACATTAATAATTTCCCACTAAATTAGCTAGGATTAATTCACATATATATATTAAATTTGCCTTGAGGAATTTATTCAACCTTTTGATGTAATCTGTATCAACTAAATTACATTCGCAGTAGTGCAAACATTCTTGATTGTGTGATTTTTAATGCTCACTTGGGCTGATTTCCTTTAATGTCAGCAACACCTTTATGCATATTTCATCTTAATCAGTTATGCTGACTCACTATATTTTTCAACTAAGCCTTACTTCATGTTTCTTATTGAACCAACTTTCTAATATGTACGTTGTAACAGTAATTAAGAGTAAAGCCTAAGTCAATAAAGGAATAGCAGTGTATTGGTGATGCCCCCACCCCAAACCACCAGCATGAGGTGAGGCCATCACTTGGGGATGTGCAGGGCAACAGGACAGCAGCATCCTTGTGTTATGGTTAAATTAAACCTTCCCTTTGTTTTACTGTTCATCATGGTTTATGTTAATAGTTGACTGTTGGGACTGAAACAGCTCAGGGTCAGCCCCTGACCTTAACAGGAGAGACCTGACCCAACAGTGTGGTGTGTTTCCCTCCTAAACAGCTCCCAGAACTTGAGGAGGGAGCTTGTCTAAGAGGGTGTCAGCAGTCCAGTAATGCTATATCTAGTTAAGGGAGAGGAAACAGTGACCTGGCCTTCCTCCCCATGCTGTGCCCCCAGGGAAATCCTAAGAGTGACCCCGAATTGCATGCCCCAGCTGCTGGGGACAGGGCTGAGCCTCCCCTAATACACCTCCTGGTTTGTTAAAGATGGAGACAGATGAATGGGTAAATAAGACAGCTTGATAGAAAATGGATGATTGTAATAATAAAAACAATAAAAGAAAAATAGTAATAAAGCAATTTTGACCATATAAATATAGTATATACTTTTGCATACACATTTATGTATACCCAGATATACACTATATTGCCAAAAGTATTCGCTTGTCTGCGGCAGACGGGATTCTTAACAGCCGATTCTTAATCCATAATATGATGTTGGCCCACCCTTTGCAGCTACTGTATATATGTTCTCTATAATATCCATCTAGTAATTTGACTTTTTAATTAAATTTCTTAATCTGTGTAATAAGTTATCTGTATTAGGGGGACCATCCAACATGGAAATTCAAACCCAACAAATAAAATGAAAGGTTGAGGTTGTTGTTTGCTCATGAAAAGCGAGCTATTGTTCAGACTACTTTAGGCCTATTAGAAAGCCTCCTCGGACAGTGAAAAGACCTAGTTGCTATGACCGTGGATCACGTACGTTTCATACACCAGCTCTGTCGGAGGTGAGCTGAAGCTCCAGTCTTGGCAGTCAGGATGACGTGGCTGAAGGCTGCGGACGGTGCGCCGAGAGGGTTTTTTTTAATTCACCGGTTGATACATCGCTTTCTACGCTGACTGGAGGCGTTACAACACGTGAATCAGTTTAGCCAATCCAAGGTACGTGCGATGAACGCCCGCGAAGCGCTTACGCCATATGCGCACGAAAGCGTCTCTAAAAATTGCCTCTGTCATACAACCAGGAAGAAAGTGGGATAGCCCTTTTAAGCTAACGTCCCTAATCTTTCTGCACACTTTCTCCGAAAATAATGGGATCTTCCAGGTGGAAGGTGGCAGCGGCAGCGTTCCTCGCTATAGTGGGTTCTTTATTACCTGTCGACGCAGACGAACATGAACACACGGTAAGACAACGCTTTGAGAGGCCGATTGAAAGGGGGAGCCTTGAAAATAATGGACGTTTGTGCTCTGTGTAACTTGCTAACTGTAGCTGCGACGGCTATCTGCATACAAGAAAACATTATAAACGTGACAAAGTGCATGGCTTGGTCTGTTGAATTATATATCGATAACTGCTGAGCTATCAAACATATAGGCGTTCATTAAGCTAGCTAACTTGTCACCTATTATCGGCCTAAGTTAAGTCCTTAAGGCTAACGTGTCCTGCTAGCTTGTTAGCACGTCCACTCCTTGACCACCGGCAGAAACTGCATTCAAGTTAATGTTAGACTAGTTGTTCACCAAAATCAAAACCACTGACACAATGTTTTAATCTCAGAGTGATCCTTACAAACAGTTTAGTAGATTTATGATGGTAGAGTTATTAGTCAACGTTACGTTGACCTGTTTAACGCCATGGCCTCTCAGTGTTTCGTCTCTTTTTTGCCCTAATTACAGACGCTCTAGTTATAAGTGGCTAACAGGTGTTAATAAGATGTATTACATTGTCCACTTTACATAATACAGTCATTTTATGCGTGAAAGCTGTTTAATTACATATAACGTTAGCACTGAAGTTAACGTCCTTGACTGTAAATAAACATAGTTTGTTCTTTACTTAAAGTATATATATCACTTGTATGTGGTCAAACTGACGCAGTGATAAACGAGTTACATTTACATAGTTTACTTAAATTTAAATGCTTGTTCAGTTTCAATGGAAATGTGATGATAATGTTACTGTTTACTACTGAATTTATTGTTGTTACTGCTGTGAGTGCAAACATGTAGTTATTTATGTCAGACATTTGCTTGTAAAATATCAAGTTGCTACAATATGAAACCAGGAGGAGTAGCAGAACTGCTGTAGCATTCCAAGACATAACAGTAAAGGTTCTTGTGTCTCTTTTGCAGTACACAGATAAGGAGGAGGTAGTTTTATGGATGAACACAGTGGGGCCTTATCACAATCGACAGGAGACATACAAGTACTTCTCTTTGCCCTTCTGTGTGGGCTCCAAGAGAACTATCAGTCATTATCATGAAACACTGGGAGAAGCGCTACAGGGAGTGGAGCTGGAATTCAGCGGCCTAGACATAAAGTTCAAAGGTATTCTACTGTTTCACTGGCTTTCACCTATTGAGCATGTCTAAAAACTGATGAACGGATTATTTTCCAGCTGTCTTTCAGTCTCTTCTTCACACATCTTTCTTGATCTCTCTAGAGGATGTAATGCAGACAACATATTGTGAAATTGACCTGGACAAAGCCAAACGGGACGCCTTTGTCTATGCCATAAAGAATCACTACTGGTACCAAATGTACATAGACGACCTGCCCATCTGGGGTATGTGATACTTTGTTTCCTTAAAAAAAAACAAAAAAAAAACAAAGTAACTACCAGATACTGAAAATATATGTACGTGTTGTCCTGTGAGGTGGAGTAGTTCTGTAGTAATCTGTGGCTCTCTCTATTTGACTTGCGTTTTGTTTGAGTTGAGTTACTGTTTGTATTAGCTATCACTTGGTTGAAATGTTAGAATAACTTAAAAATGTAATTCAGAAACACACTTTAAAGTGCACTAGCCCGACATAACAAAGTAAACCTTACATTTGTGAGTAGGTACACCCCTGCAATGTACAGTGGTGGCACATCCACAGTAGTCTTGGAAGTGAAATGCTCCACTGTTAGCAAGAAGTATGTTAATGAGTCATTACAGGCTCTTCAGGTGACTGTCACTCTGGCAAGCTACCGCTCTGATCCATCACATACATGGGAGGAGTTTGTACAATGGTGCCACTCCTATAGTTGCTCAAACATTGCTCTGTTGGCTGATGTTGGAGGTAGTGGGTGGGTCACTGGCAGTGGTACAGACAGCTCTCTATGTTATGTTACATACTTAGCCATGCTGGTTTGCCAGCATGCTAACTAGGGATGGCATTTCAAGCTAAAACGCTATCTGATATATTTGCCGGGAACTATTCGCCAATTATATTTTTGTCCTCCCCAGCTATGTACATGAGAGGGTCAAAATATTAGGAACACTTCTGAATATAATGTAGTCATTACAACACCACCTTGAACTATGACCTCAATAATAAACATATAGTTGAATTTATACATTTATGAGAATTCAAAAATTGAAATATTTTGAGCTTCATAAGCACAGATGTTAAGACAAGTGTTGCATTAAAGTGCATACAATTGTACATGTGTGTCTATTAAAGTGGCCAGTGCATGTATGTTTCCATAAATACTTTTTCATACAAGAATGTTCTCCTCCTGTTTATTACCAGTTGCATAATAAGAAACAGTGTGATACTCAGTAGAAGAGGCAAAAACATATTTAGAGCTTTGTGGAAAACCTTTGTGGAAAAACTTTTTTTTAGTGGCCTCTACAGTATGTCACAAGGAAATAGCATAACATTTTTATATTAACATGGAATTTGTCATCATAAAGCGGAGAAACAAGGGGGTAGCTACATTTTCTAAAGACCTAGGATAACAGACAACCAGTTGCATCAAACTGATTTGCTCAGGCCAGCAGTGTCAAACCTAAAGACTGGATATAGCAGAAGAATACAGATGATGCATTTGGAAAGTTAATGAGTAGTGCAGCAAAGGACCTTGATTTGGCATCTACATGTGGTGATTATTAAGTTATATAGTTGATCAGTAGTCCTCAGTGTTCAGTTACCAATGTTACCACCTGTCCTTCTGTAAAGACCAGATCTCTTATTCAATTCATGTAACTTTTTAAGGTATTGTTGGTGAGGTGGATGAAAATGGAGAAGATCATTACCTGTGGACATACAAGAAACTGGAGATCGGCTTCAACGGCAACAGAATTGTTGATGTAAATCTGACCAGCGAAGGGAAAGTCAGACTCGTGCCAAACACAAAAACTGCAATGTCTTATTCTGTGAGTACTGAATGATCGCTCCAGCTGTCCTTGTCATGTGTTAATGGTGGAATTCAAAAACTATTTAATGAAAGGGAAGGGGGATACAATTTAAGGGTTCAGTTAAATTTAAAAATTCCTGCTATACGTACAACCAAAAAAAGATTTTGTATTTCCATAAGTGGGGTAAAACTATGGAATAATTTAAGTGTAGACATAAAAAATAGTAATAGAATTGACGAGTTTAAACATAAATATAAAGGTATGTGTCAATCAAGATATATGCAAGAAGAGGTTTAATGATTAATTAGATGGAACATTGTGGGTGTGGTGTATGAATGTTAACACTTTGTAATAATTCTTTTGTATATTACTTTGTGTGTGTAGAAGTGAATCATTTACTGCTTGCAAACCAATGATGGTAAGATGATGTCATGGGGTAGGACTGGATAAGTCTGACTTCTTCCTACTCCATTCAAGCATGTACTAGGTATAAGCAAATTGATATTGGATTATGTGTAAAATTATGTGTGTTGTCATATCAACTGTTTTAACATGCTTGAAAGAATAAATTAAATCAAATCAAATCAATGCTCGCTTTGTTTGTAATATGGGCGATTAATGTAGCAGTCCAACTTTCCCATCACAGGTGAAGTGGAAGAAGTCAGATGTCAAGTTTGAGGACAGATTTGACAAGTACCTTGATCCATCCTTCTTTCAGCACAGGGTGAGTTGAGCATTATATTTGCGGTGTTGTGCTTCATCATGCTAGCCAAGAACGCCACTGGCTCGGTGTAACAGCATGCTTGCGTATGACCTTATAGAATACATGAGCCAAGCATTGTTCCATGGAAGGTGTGCTCTAATTAGCCAGCCTGGTAACCAGCCACTGTAAAATGATTAATAACGTGGTTACTTCTGAAGCTAATTGTTCATTTAATGATTTCTTTTTTTCCAGATTCACTGGTTCTCCATCTTCAACTCCTTCATGATGGTTATATTTTTGGTGGGTCTGGTGTCAATGATTCTGATGAGAACACTAAGAAAGGATTATGCCAGATACAGCAAAGAGGAGGAAATGGATGACATGGTATGTTTTTATTGAACACAACGCTATTTGCTGAGTGCAGAATTGTAAATAAGGTTCAACTGATAAGTTTTGTCATCATTGTTTACTTTAGTTTGAGTGAATAATGGACTTTGTTTTTCCCCTTCTCATGTTAACATCTTGTCACTGTGTACCGACAGGACAGAGATCTGGGAGATGAATACGGGTGGAAACAGGTACACGGAGATGTGTTTCGGCCGTCGAGCCATCCACTGATCTTCTCCTCATTAATTGGCTCCGGCTGCCAGATCTTCTCTGTCTCCCTGATTGTCATCATCGTTGCTATGGTTGAGGATCTGTACACAGAGTGAGCAGCAGGCAGCTAACTGCTTGGTTATAAACTATGGTTGTAATTATGGGATTGGGATCAGATATCAGGCTGTTTGGGGGCCTGTTCCAATTTAGTAAAATAGCTGGATAATATATAATCCATCAGGAAAAACTTCATTCCCACATTACAGTTTTCTATTATGTAAAATTGCAGAAAGTAAAACACAAATACACCCATATTAAAAAAGCTTTGGATTTAAAAAAAATACTGTCAAACCATGACCCTGTGTAATTGTCTGGATAAAATGTGGAAGGACATGAAGGCTTCATGGTAAATCGTTTTGTGAGTGAGATTTAGATCCCTGTGTGATCTCTGCTGTACTGTTTTTTAAATGGATGTTTGATGTAATCAGATTTCCCGTTTAGTCTTTGCTTAATATTTAGGTTTGAATGAAGTCTACTTGTAAAGATAATATATGGATGGGGGAGTGTGTGTATATATAGCCCTAATAATGTAGATTAGGGCTGCACGATAAATCATTTTTGTGAGCGCAATTTAGATCCCTGTGCAATCCTAGTCTCACATGACTGATTCTGCCCTGTTTGCATTAGCAGGGAGATCCCTTGCATCAAACCAAGCGCTCCTTTTCCTCGCTAAGCTGCATTAACCATTATTTCTGCCTCGGCTGCCATTCAGCATTAGGTGTATATGGCAGGCAGTGCAATGTTTGAAAACTGTTGCAGGAGTGAACAGAATATCTTTCACAATGTCAAACAGGCTGGATTAGTTTTGATTCAAGATTTTTATTTGCCATTTATGCATAAACAGACTAGACAGTCTAGGCATATAGGAATTCTTCTGCAGCTCTCTTGGAATCAGGTAAAGAGTTAAAAGCCCGAAAAGAACACCTAGTCTGAAAATAAAGTTAAGCAAGAGTGACATTTGAATCAGTCTTCTCTTCCCGTCTACAGCTTGTCACATGGCTACTGGTTAACACAGCAAGGAAATAGCAGGATCTGAAACACACTCACAAAACAATTGATCATGCAGCCCTAAAGGACAGTAACACTTTTGTGAAAGAAACAAATGAAAAGCACCTTTTTGAAGGAGAAAGTAGGCCAAAGACTGAGGGAGTGATGCACATGTCCTGTCATGACTCCTGTCACTTGTTTACTCTGCAGGAGAGGATCCATGCTGAGCACAGCCATTTTCGTGTATGCTGCAACCTCCCCTGTCAATGGCTACTTTGGGGGAAGCTTGTATGCAAAACAAGGAGGTAATAAATGTGCCCGTGCATCACATTCTCTCTGACTGCTTGCGTAGTCACCAACTATTGGCTTAGTATAGATAGACTTCATCACATCATGCTATATTGATTTGTTTGAATGATCCAGGCAGAAGATGGATTAAACAGATGTTCATTGGGGCCTTCATGATACCAGCCATGGTGTGTGGGACTGCCTTCTTCATCAACTTCATTGCTATCTACTACCACGCCTCAAGAGCTATCCCGTTTGGCACCATGGTGGGTCTGACACAGCAACACCTCCCTGAAAGCCATTAGTCATTCACTGACTAGTAGGACAATGTAAAAAGTATTGTATTCTGTGTGATTATAGAAAGGTCTTAATTAAGTGAACGCTCACTTCAGAGCCGTTTTTCAGTACAGATTTAACTCCTGCATTTTATACCAAAGTTTCAAGTTTTTCAATTTTAAAAAAAATGGGTGCTCTCTGCACAGCTTCCAGATGTTCTCAACAATGTCTTGACTGACGCCTACGTACAAACAGCTTTTGGTGGTTCAACACAACCCACAAGCGTTGTGTGTCTGTGCACAAAATTTATGTGTCAAATAATCTTTAAAAAAAGCCATAGTTTAAGTTTGTTCTGGCTAAACTTGGCAATGGACCAGGAGCGTGTATGTGTATTTGTTGAATGTTGGCGTTTTTGGCTTTTATAGATATGTCTTTTGTTTAGATCAGGTCATGAGCATGTTGGCTGTTGACACAGACCACTCAAAAGAATCTTAATTAGTTTTGCTTGTGTTTTCTGCAGGTTGCTGTCTGCTGTATCTGCTTCTTTGTCATTCTGCCACTAAACCTTGTGGGAACGATTCTGGGCAGGAATCTGTCTGGCCAGCCAAACTTCCCCTGTCGGGTAAACGCTGTGCCGCGACCGATCCCTGAGAAGAAATGGTAGGTATGGTCCGTCACAGGCAGCGCACAGCACATGTAGGAAATTGCCTTGGTGACACTGGAGCAGAGCTGGGAATAGTTGAAAGTGTAATGACACATGCACACTGTACAAACATGACAATAAAAATCTACTTCTGATTATAGAAAATGTATATTATGCAAAAACCCAACTACTGCTACTTTGAGCACATTGATGTTCTGGTGTGCATTTAAACATGGCTCATGGTGATTTATGTTTGCAGACGTGCAGTAAGTGTAAATGACTGATCAGTTGTACTAAATGCCTGGAGTGAAGTATATAATGGTTTAGCTGTCTGCACAAACTCTGGGTAATGACAAATGGGAAAAGCAATAGGCCGCGAGTGCATTAGCATTTCCCTCTGCCCAGCTGCCAACAGGAAACGGTCGCTATGACTTGAGGCTACAGTCAGACTTTTTAAATGTCCCACCTGTGTCCACCTTCTCCTTTTCTCGCCGCTACACATGAAGTGATGGTACACAGTCATACTGACATGTCAAATCTTGTGATTTCTCAGGTTCATGGAGCCAGCGGTCATCGTCTGCCTTGGAGGAATCCTTCCGTTTGGCTCCATTTTCATTGAAATGTAAGTCTGTGCTGAGCGATCTGTATGTTGTAAGATGATCTGTGCAGCCTTGTTGACGGGTTTGTTGTGCTCACTCTTCAGGTACTTCATCTTCACGTCTTTCTGGGCCTACAAAATCTACTACGTTTATGGCTTCATGATGCTGGTACTGGTTATCCTGTGCATCGTGACTGTGTGTGTCACCATCGTGTGTACGTACTTCCTGCTCAACGCTGAGGACTATAGATGGTGAGTGTGTTGGTATTTTGCCTAGTATGAGAAGGACTTCTTCCACACAGGTGTCTGAAATAGGAGCCAGGAAGTTAACAACATCCTACCAACTTTGAGGGAAAGTGGAGTTTAATGTCAAACTTCTGTTCAGCATTTCCTGACATTGAGGTTTGCAGCAAACTGCAATTTACCTGCTGTGAATCAAAAGCTGAGAGAATCAAATATTTTTTTTTATAAAATATCGACAATGAATGATTGAGGCCTAAACTGTTACTGACCTTAGTTTTCTTGCTTGTCTCTCTTCCCCAGGCAGTGGACCAGCTTCCTCTCTGCTGCATCCACCGCTGTTTATGTCTACATGTACTCCTTTTACTACTATTTCTTTAAAACTAAGTGAGTAGCCTTTATTAGCTCTTGTGAATTATTCACACATGATGGATAAAAATTGTAAATTTCATGGAATATAAAAATTCTAATGAAATCATGTAAGGAAATCTAATTCATTTCTTATTGCTCTGTATTTGAGGATGTATGGGCTGTTCCAGACGTCCTTCTACTTTGGCTACATGGCTGTGTTTAGCACCGCACTAGGAATCATGTGTGGTGAGTCCTATATAACACTGTAGCACTTTCTGAAACTAAAGAAACTGACCTTTTGACCAAGAATATCCACTGAGTGCTGCTTTTATAGAATCTACATTTAGTTAAAAACATGTAATCGCAGAGTCAGTTGTATTACAACTTCCCTCTGCTGCAACACAGCAAGGAACTGTCCATGGAAATAAGAGGCAGATTTGTTTTAAATAGACTAACTTTGAAATATACAGACTCAATTTAGCTTAGTGGGACAGCTGAAGCTGCTTTTGAGACTCTTTAACTTTGGAGTGCATGTTTTTGCAGAGCAAGAGTTGTGTAGTTTGTCCCTCATCTTTTGCAGCATAGCAAAGTTCCCAGTGGAAACATTCAGGGTCATTGTGGAGAGTAGAAGAAGTGACAATGGCCAAGACCTATTTTCACATATACAAGGATATATCAATATTGATTTAACACCACCTTGAAAAATCATGAACTATTCCTTTAAAGTCCCTCCTGAGGTGCTCCCTCTAATCAGCACTAGTGTACTACATGTTGCCTTCAGGGTCTCGCTGTTCAGACTTAGGATGTGCTTTTCTCTGCTCAAACCTTCAGCAGTTCTGTCCTGTCATCGATTAGCTTGCAAAATAGAATAGTGCGAGTTTCCAGTCCACCTAATGAGAAACTCACAGAACACATTTGTCTTCCAGGGGCTGTTGGATACATGGGAACAAGTGCCTTTGTGAGGAAGATCTACACAAATGTGAAAATTGACTAAGGAGTGAAGCAGCATCACAGGGATATTCATGGATTTGTCTAGGTGTATCCTGAAAGATGGTGGGCACAAGTCATTCTTGGTTACTTTTCTTTCTTGCAAAGAGATTGTGAGAATCTCACTTTGTACAATGTAGTTTTTTTTTCTCCCATTTTCTGAATGAGTTTCAAGGCTGCAGCTCAAAGCAAACAAGAGCAAATGTGTGGCAGAGATATCAAACACAAGGTTCTTTTTATCAGTTGCTTTCAAATAAACATTGAGGCAAATGTTTAAGGCTGACATGGCTTCCGTTCTCCAACCTAGTCCCACCTGAGAACAGAGAAGGAACGTTTATTGGTGGAACAGTGTCGCTCTCTTCAGTGAAGAGGCTGAGATGTATTGAAAGCCTTTGTTCTGTTGTGCTGAAATTTTGGAGAGTTGGGATTGTGCCTGTGTTCTGGATTGGTTTCTATTTTGTATTCTTGGAGTCAATTGAAATATCATTACTAGACAGTACAGTAGATTGTTCAGATTTACTTCCACTGCAGAAAGATGACAAAGGCTGTTGTCACTTGAGAATCATTCCCCCATCTGACAATTATTAATTCACTGTTACAGTAGCAATCCATCTGGCGGACGAGGTTTTAGTTCTGCTTTGTTTACTGATGAGAACAGAGGGACTGATCAGCAGCTGACATGCTGGTTTTTAAATGGATGTTTGATGTGATCCCATTTCCTGTTTAGTCTTTGCTTAATATTTGGGTTTGAATGAAGTCTACTTGTAAAGATAATATATGGATGGGGGAGTGTGTATATAACCCTAATAATGTAGATTAGGGCTGCACGATAAATCATTGTCAGCGAGATTTAGATCCCTGTGAAATGTCAGCCTCACGTGCCAATGATTTTTGCCATGCTTGCATTAGCAGTGAGATCCCTTGCATCAAACCAAGTGCTCCCTTTTTCCGTGCTAAGCTACGTTAACCAGTAGCAGGAATATGTT